AAATGATTACATCGAGCATGTTCGTGAACATATTTAACGAATTTTTTAAACTATCAAACAAACACGTTCGTGAACATATCTATGAACAAACACATTTATAATAAAAGCAATTGTCTATGAAACAAAGGCAATTATTTATAAGCAAATCCCATATTCACAGAATTTTTCTAACAGCCGCATTGACAAAGGCAATGATTTATAAATAAATAGTCATATAAAGATACAATTACTTAGACAGCAAGTTAAATAATATATGATACCTGCAGCAATCACTGATCTAGTAACAACTAGTGGCCACAAAAGGATTGCAAGACTAGCAAAGAGAACGCAAACAGTCTCTAAGAATGGAGACTTGTATAATACATCATGAATAATAGTTGCCTTGTGAGGTGGAGGTACATCAACAAAGCTAAGCACTTTTTTTGAAGTTTAATAATAATTATATCATTATATTATAATAAATATAAAATATTTATATTATTTATATTTATTAATTCTATAATCAAATATTAATTATTTTTATCGAGCTTATTCACGAGTTCAAAATCGAACATGAATCGAGCTTCTTATCGAGCTTAATGTCGAGCTTGTTCACGAACATCAAATGATTGTTGTTCGCGAACATAAATGAGCCGAACACATTAGTGTTCAAATTTGTTTATTTATGAATCAAGTATTTAAAATATTGTTCAAGTTTGTTTGTTTAGTTAATTAAACGATCACAAACGAGCTTTAATCGAACCGAACAATGAGTAGTTCGTCGAACATTTGGTTCGCTTGCAGCCCTAATTACAAATCTATTATTATTATCCAAAGAGAGATTTCATGGCATAGCTTATACATGAATCTTTTGCTTGCTTGCATAAGGTCTTAAATGATTCAAGCTTTTCTTGGTTATCATTTGGCATTTGATTGCATGTTAGTTGTTGTTATCTGCGAGCAAGCCATCATATTCTTTCCTTGCTTTTTAATCTCTTTGCCCTCAAAGGTCATCTGTAATATGTACGATAAGCATAACATCCTTGCTTATTGATATTAAAGCTTATATCACCACATTGTCTTTGATGTTTATTGGGGAAATTTCAATTGTTGCTCTTATATGAATGGTTATATTCTCCATTATATTTATTGCTCTTTGCTTACCAGCAAACCATGCTACATAGTCTTTGTTAATTCATTAATGTTCATTAGAAGTTCTCACCATTTCATAACTTATATTGTACATGTTGCACATTAAGTCCCATTTTCTAATTTCTATAGCTTAATTTAAAAGTTTTGTTCCCTACAGTCCTGTTGAGTTCAAGTTCAGTGGGTATGTACTAGTTCAAATCTTGTATGTCTAGTTCCTTGTAACTGCAAATTCTATTGCATGTTCAAGTAGTTCAAATCAACTCAAAGTCCTTTGTACTTAGTTCAAATCCGAGTTCGGGCTCTCTGTGGTCTTCTTGAGTTCAAACTCAATTCAAGTTCAAGTCTTTTGTTATTTGCATCCAAGCAAAATTTCCCATTGAATGTTTGAATTCAAGTCCCTGTTCAATTCAAATTGAAATCTTTGCTTGGATTTGGTCGAAGAGGCGCATGACAGGGAGAAAGCTACCATTATAGCAAGCGAGCTCCCGAAGGCTCTTCTCTTATTGCTTTTAACGATAGAGGGAGAAGAGTCGAGACAAATCCAGCGTGATACGACTTCTTTAACGCCGTTGCAGAGGTATGGGAAAGCCGTATTCGCATGATTTTGACAGGATATTGGATCAGGTAATCATGTTGATTTTTTTTTTTTTCTCTCTTTTGACTATATTACAAAGGTCAGCAATAGAATTGGGCATAAGCATATTAATTGTTTGAAGAGGAACCAAGATACTGATAAAGCTGCTTTAACCAAGGATTTTGCTAAAATGAAGGATGAAATTAATGAAGCCTTTCCCATAATGCCTCGTTTTAAAAGTTCTAGTAACCATAATGTTCTAGCAATTATGGTCCTTGGATTCAAGTTAAATATGGCAGGAGAAAATTCAAATCTTTTAATAATGGGGCTGTCACAGATGTTCGTAAAAATGATATCCAAAGAGATCAAGATAAATTGTTCAAGAAGGTTAATCGGATTGCTGTTGATGATACTGATACTGATACTGATACTGATGCTGATGTCGAAGTGGAATCCAATTCTAGACTTGCAAATCAAATTAGACCTATGATGCTTGCTGATAAAGGTTTAAAGATTAATGATAATTCTAATTCAAGTAAGTCTGCTCAAGCTCATAAAAGAAATGAAAGTTCTGTCAAAGAAGCAGAAAATTTTGTGCTTCAAAAGGAAAAAGGGCGCTAACTTTGAGAGGATGCATAGAAGATAATATCTACTCAACTAGGTGTATCCATAAATCTGGTTAATTCTAACCGGTTTAATTTGTTAGCAGATACTCCTGATGATGTGGACAATGATGCTTCATTTGGCAAAATTGATTATCAACCTGATTTGATATTAGCAGAGGGAATTCCTGTAGAGGAAGGAATGGTTGATGTTCCTGTCATGAAACAAATTCTGAAATTATGAATTGTGTTTCAACTCAGAAAGTGGAAGACTTTTCTGAGGGTAGTTCGGTTGTTATCAAAACCAGGCTTAATAAATCCTTAGGGCCTATAGAAGATATAACTGGTTCTCTAATCGGTGACATAGCCTGACAGCTACACAAAGAACCCATGGCTTGGTCAGAATGGCTCTAAATGATAAACAATTAATTATTGTTGCCCTCTGACCTAGCGGCCTGATCGAATGACTGTTCTATCTTCCGATCATGATAAACAATCCCATCGCCTTCCAACTTCACCCTATCAGGAAGAGGCCAATTTTGATATCTCCCTTGATCATAGAACTCTTCATACCGCATTCAAAACTAGAAATTCAAAGGAAGCGTTGCTGGGAGATTCGGGTATAGAAAGAAGATGAAGATGATGAAAATGCTATGGAGGTTGAGGTAGTCTACATGGCACGGAACAATAATGAGCCACCTCCATTTCGTGTATACCAATGACACTATGAAGTGAACTTGTTGTTGTTAGTACCACAACCCCTCGAGAAGAGCAAGCACAATATGATCAATTCAAAAAAGAAATCCCCTCAAGTGATGACCAAGAGGAGAATCAAAAATAAGAATTGCTTGCTGACACTGTTACATTGGCGTAAGCACAGGAGCGTAAAAAGCACCATATGAAGGAGAAAGATAAAAAGATCTCAGCAAAATGCCAGAATGACAAAAATGAAGGCATAGATGGCCGCGATGATGCAGTTGATGCAAAAGAGTGTCACTGCTAATCCTTCACCTATTAAGTTAACTAATCATCAGGCATCAAACAATTTTCCTGCCAAGCTATCAACCAATCCAACACCCTAGGTGTCTAGAGTACGAGTTAAACATGAAGGGGGGGATTGAAAACGATCGTTTGATTTGCTTACCTACTACAAAAAATGTTGCAAGCACATCCAAACTTGTAATAGCTGCACAACTAGAATTGATCATCAATGAGAAGATCAAGACTGTCATCGCCTTAGAGCAGGTAGAGAAATTTGTAAGCAAAGATAACATGTACCCGACTGAACACAACCAGGTGCCACATCATAAAGGCTAATTCGTGCCCTCAACACTTTCAGCTGCAACGATAATTCAAAGTAACATTTAGCCCAATTTAAAGCATCCTGTGGCAATAAAAGGGGGTAATAATGCACTGTTATTTTGTCAGTTTATTAGCAGTTTGACAATAACTTCATTCAAATGGTATGATGAGATGCAAAACAATTCGATGAAGACATTTATCCAGCTCGAAGCCATGTTTTTAAAAAGATTTGCAAGCATTATAAAGAAGACAACTATTGATGAGAAGAGACGAGACAGTAACTAAATATATTACTCGTTGGCGAAACTTGAGCACGAAGTGCAAGCAACAATTAGAAAAGAAGCATATAAACCAATTATTGATGGGCAATATCAATTATAAGATGGCTCCATATATGTGTATGACCTCCATCACGACATTCTAGGAGCTACTAGATGGGGTGACGAAGTTTGAAAAACTGAATCATTTGAAGCTTGAAAGTCATGCACATGTTAGAAGAAAATCTCATAATAGATCATGTCCGCCGATCCCATTATCAAAAAGTGTATCTACAGCCTCTTGCACCAATTTTTCTTGACATATTACTAATTCCCCTAGTGTAGATCTACTAATTGGTAATAGATCGATAAGAGTATTGTTCTGATAAATGACTCTTCTATAGAGTTCATTAACTTACCCCCATCTGTCTGAATGATTGGTCTCACCTCAAGGCACAAAATCAATCCATTCTTTGTTCTAATAAAATATTTAGCTAATTCAATGAGCCACAAGTGCTAGGTTGTCAGCACAACTAAGTGAGCAAGGGGACAAACTTCAACAGGGCATGATAACAAGGACCCATGACAACGGAAATTAGTGATACAAATCAACAAAGAACTTCAAGAAAAATTGATTAAATTCATGATAACAAATAAAAATGAGCCAACCCAACAGAATCAAACCAATGCGAGAAGTTTAGGAAATCAAAGAACACAACCAATTCTCATAGGGCACATAATAGGCATGACAAAAGGAAAAATAAAATCTAAAATTCCTAAAATGAAGGAAAACTGCTAAAGTAAATTAGCACTCATATTATCAATTTGCTTGTCACATTGCACACATCCTGCATTTCTGACAATTACAACTGCATCACTTGGCGTATGTAAACATAGGGCCTGTTTAAACATTTGATTCCAAATAGATGGACAGGAGAGACACTTAGCTTAATGTGAAACATATTACATGTATGAGAATAGTGGCAACAATCAACTAAGACAGAAAGAGTAGCAAATTTAGCAAATATTAACAATTGCAAATTAAAAGTGGGTCACTGAGGGGATGGAATCAAGCGAAGTAAAAAAGATTTCTAGAATTTAAGTAATATTGTGAAATGAGTTTAGTGTCATCACCAGTTGTTTTGGCAACCTCTCCTGATACAATCACCAAAATCCTGCAGAGTTCCTTCACATCCTCAGCATGGACAATATCAGCCAGTAGTGGCCTACCAGAATGAACGTAAGGGTCAACTATTCACATTTTAAAAAAGTAAAAGCAAGGAAAGAATATGATCGCTAAAATAAACATTCCTGCTGATAATAATTAAATTAATACCTATATGTAATTTTTAAAGATCCCACTGAAGTTGAAGTCAGATTTGTGGCACGACCCTTAGAGATGGAAGCAAAAGTCGGCCCTAAACTCTGCAAAAAAGTAGGAAATACAAGCAAAAACGATAAGTTATTTGTTCAGCCAGAAGCAGTCCATTTGAAGAACACCGAATAAAAAGATTTGGCAATTATGAAAAACACAGAAGCAATAAAAAAACAGATAAAAAAGGTCAAAGAGAAAATAAAACATTGGATATGTTTATATTAAAGCAGATAATGCTTGTATTTTTTCATTGCTACTCCCCAATTTACATTATACAAACATCATTTTCAGTTCTGAGATGAATCAAAATTTTAACTAAACAGTCTAGACTTGACAGTACCACCAATTTTTTTAGGGGGATTGGAGCCCTCGTCATATATAGAGGGGAATGAAACCTGAGCAATTAACTGACAACTATTATTATTAATACTTCATGTCTATCAATACCTCTGGGCAATGTGCAAGCCTGTGAATCGACTGCTCCTGTGATGATAATCCAAAGAAAATATCCTGGCTCTTTCTCTTCTTTGATGTAGGTGAGGCATAGATAGAAGGACCTATAGCTCTATTCAAAGAAGCATTTGCTGCCTGCTGCATGCAATTCATGGCATTCCCATCCCCATGGAAAAGTGCCTTCCTGTCTTCACTTCCTTCAAAGTTCTTGCAATCCATACACTTGCAATTATCAGAGCAGAGAATGTTGGCTTGGAAGCACTCACAGTATTTCTTGAGACATCCTGATTTCTTGCAATGGCAGCCCTTATTGTGCTTACCTGCTAAAGCAATTTCACCTGTGTCTTCCTGCCAAAACAAAAGAATTTTAATTTGGAAGAAAACAACCATGAGCAATCATGAATGGCAAGAAACAAAAAACCACCAAAAAAATTGATTACACTACAGCCATATGATTTTGCAAGGTAACTACATCCATTGTTCATTAAATTAAATTTCAATGAGGTAACATGAAATGGCTGTTATATATTAGCCATGGGGCACGCTTCCTGCTCATTTGCCCGGCTTGCTAACGGGTATAGAGGGTGTAAGTAAGCCTAAAATGCACACGAGTAAAATATTTGTACAACTCAGGTCATTAATTATCCAGCTAAACACTTGAGCTTAAGCTCAATAACAAGCTAAAATAATCTAGTTAATATTCAAATCATGTACTATTGAGCCGAATAGCCAAGTTGATGACCAACACAAGCATCAAAAGCTTTTCCTATTGATGGGACCAATTGCATGAAAGGAACAGAACATAAAACACGTGGCATCAATGATTTTAGAGTATATTGCATGATCATTAATAGAACAACAAATATGCAGAAATATATATATATATATATATATATATAAATATATATATATATATATATTTGCTCATCTTGCGGGGTAGAGTAGCTTGAGTAAATGAAAATGATAAAGCTTCCTATCCAGCCAAAAAGGATGGAAAATAATTTCATCCTTGATCCTTCTAAAGCATGGTAGGGGCCAAACAGATGACCTCTAGGGTAGGAGCAAAGATTAAGCAGGCATGAGAATACACAATATTAGTAAAAAAGACTCTCATTACTATGGCTTTACTATATAACACCAAACCCTTTTAATTTTTTTTAATTCCGAAACAGCCTTGCATATGATATTCATGCACATTCTAGTTTGGATTGACCCCTTAATTTTGATTTTATTTCAATCATCTACCAAGTTAAGGTCAATTTAAGATAAAAAGATGGGTATTCCCTTCTTATACGATGCATGGGAGAGGATCCCAAACACAAAAAATACATGATATAATATTAGTCTTATTTTGTTGTTTAAGGAGCGGCCTTCTGAGAGTTTCTTATATAACTATTATCCCCAAGCTTTTCTTCTCCCATGCATTAACTTTAAAGATACCACACTTCATCAGTTCATTGTTTCTAGGATTAACACTTCTTCAGTTCATTGTTCCTACGACTAAGTATCCTATAGTTGGTAGTAGCCCTATGGATTGTCTTTCTTTTGTGGGAATTCTTGGGATTACAGAAAGGTATCATAGATTACAAAATCAGATTTTTGGCTTCTTCTCTTATTAGAACTTCTTTAATTTTCTTTTTCATAATAATATAACCTCATTCAATATGGAGGCACAAGATTGGACGTGATAGTCTAGAACAGATCTCTTGTGAAGCTCAAAATCATTTTGAACTACTACGCTCTTTTGTTTTCACTAAAAAACAGAATAGCCTTGTTAAAGCTCAACAAGAATGAGATATATATTTGCATATGTATATTGAGATTGGAGAAAAGTCTGTAATCAGATGTGAAATAAGAGCTAAGCTCCTAATATACAGGCTGTGGACCTTACACATTAGCTAGTTTTTGGTTAATGGATATGCATCTGCTAAATATTGAGCTCAACTTAAGCCTTCAGTGTTAAACCCTCTTAAGAGGTGATATCAGTTCATTAAGATCAAGTGGTCCATAGGTTTGTGACTTCCATGAGCCTTGAAAGCTATACCATGTAAAAGTAAGATTTAGAGTAAGCAACTCTCATGAAGACTTCATGCGGTTAAGAGAGCACTTGTGCATGACACTTGATAGTGTTAATGTTAAAAAATATTTTGCATGAAGGGAAATGTTAACCAATGTGGATTACTCTCATTTGAGAACTTCATTGAGATGCGCATGAAAATAAAAAATATCCCCACATTGAAAAAGAATAAGACTTGAACTCCTAATATACTACTTGTGGCCCTTATCCATTAACTTAAGCTTTTGGTTTGATAAGTGAACATTCATTAATATATCAAGCTCAACTTGGGTCCTGGTGTTACCCTTCCAATAATATCAAGCTATCTCGTGTGTGTGGCTCATTTAGAAAATGAGTAAAAAAAATCATGTTCATACTCGGCTCATTTACTCATAGAATGAGTCAAACTCGATCAACTTATCAAAATGAACATGAGGTGTTCATGAACAAAAAAAAATTATATTCCTAGCAAACATCATGGTACATGATGCATGAAATGAACCCACAAAACGTAGTGGATTGGCAGCAACGGGATTTCCTATACTAGTCACATATAGAAAAACAACAAGATTTAGCTTCTAGGCCACACCCAAGCATATGTACGTGGCTAAGGGGGATCACGCAATATGGAAGCAAGGCAGCCCCTTGCAAAATAAACCCATATTAATGATGCATTTAGATTTTCGCATTATTTTTGTTTTGAACAATATTAGTTATATTTTCTATTTTTGTTTTACTTTTAAGCTATCCAATGATGGTGGTAAATCCTATGATCATGGTAGGAATTGGTTTGGATTATGCTTACCTTGGGTTTGCTGGTTTTGGGGTCCATCATGTCCTTTGGGGAAGTTGGCTGGTTTCGGGTGGGCCTTGGCTGTTTTTGGTTTGAGCTTTAGTTGTTGAAATTCTAGTGGTGCCAGCTCATTATTATCAATTGGAGGTATAGCTCATTATGAGCTGATGTTTAGTTCTGAAATTAAATGTGAAGTGAGCATATTTTGGTGGGTGGAACTTGCCCTTTCCTCTCCCTTTCGTCTTTTGGGCTGCTGCTGGTTTTCTCTCCCACGGTTTACTGCTGCCTGTTTGGTTGTTGTTGACCCCTCGGTTCTCTGCCCCCTTTACTGCCGTGACTTACCCCCTTTTCTCCCGTGAAATGAGCTTTTGCTGGACCCGATAATTGTCTCCTTGTTTCATGTGCTGGAGCCGTGGCTTTCCCTTGTGATCTGCTGTGCCGTTTGGAATTTCTGTACAAAAATCAGATAGCTTTTCAACTCTCCATTTATGGGTAGAATTGAAGTAAATCTTGGAATGTTTAGTTCCCCTCTATTGCCTATATATATGAGATGCTTTGATAAGAAATGGTTGGTGAATATTGAGAGCAAAATTGCTATAGCCTGCGGGTTCTTCTTGGAAAAGCTTGCGAGCTTTGCTCCATCTTCTTTCTCCTCTAGGGAATACTTGCGAGTTCCTTCCCACCCTTCGTCTGGGCTTCTAACCTCTTTCTTCTCTACGCAAGTTCAACTCCACCTGTATCTTTCTTCTAGTTCCGTTGGTAAAGTTTGTTGACTGTTTTGGTGGATTTGTTGGCTGTTTTGGTGGCATTTGCTGGAGGAATTTGGTAGGACGTTGGACCCTTTTGCAGTGGTGGACCCTTTGGTTTGCATATCTAAACATTATCTGAAATATATATTCCTACAATCGATGCATGTGAGGAGTCCTCTTGTAGGATGTTCTGAGGATAGCGTTTGTTTGTTTTTTTATTTATTTCTTTTGCTTTGGTTTGTTGGATGATCGCTTCTTCTCTATTCTGAATTTTAGTTGTTTATTTAGCCTATTTTGTTCTCCAAGTGGTGTCTTAAATTTCTAAAAAGTGAGTCTTGATTTTCTTTGTTCCTGGTTTGTGTTTTTGTTTCAAGTTGCATACATCAATTAATTTTCAATTTCACTTCCAACAAGTAGTTCATATATATTACTTTCTAAGATTGGTTTTTGATCAATAAGGAGTTGTAAACTATGTTAAGGTGAACATATAATATTTACTACTAATAAAAGGATATAGCACATAAATTCTATGCCCAGACATCTGATCTACTTTTAATTTACTAAAGAATATATAATTTAAAACACATACAATCTTCTCTATGAAAGTGTTGATATGCACGTTATGCTTTGACAAAGTTTATATTGGCGGTCAAGCAGAGTTTTTGAAGCTATTAAAAACTTATAGATTTTAACTAGTATGTAATTGACATTACACGTGGAAGAAATTCAAATACACATTACATTGATTGAAAATAGAATAAAATAAGATAGTAAAATGAAAATCAATAAAGACACTAGATAAGCATATGCCAACAAAACAAAATAATGTCTACCAGAATTAAAAAATATAAAATAAAACATAAGGTTATCGCAGCACATCCTCACATGGAATAATACAATAAAAACAAAATAGAACTGCTAATAACAAGGAAGAAATTTGATGATAGCATCATATAAGGTGCCTATTTTCCAAAGCTAGTGCATAGTTAACCAGTCCGACCTCAAGTAACAATCTATCATGCCCTAGGAGGGGCATGAGACATTAATAAGGTCATAATGAGAAGAAAAATTATTAAAAATATATAATACATCACACTTAGCTTTCATGATTATTTTACAAATGCGCACACACATAACACATGCATAAACTAAAGAGCATCTCCAAAATCATAGCATCAAAGTGACGGCAACATAGGTCCAAATGCCAAAAAAGAAGTGAAGGATGCAACATAAAGATCAACAATCATCACAACAAATTAACACAGATGTACACAGAATAAAAACCAAGATCATCTTCATCATCAGTGGGTTTTTTCTAACTAAAAGAACAATATGAATTGCTCTTCTTCGAAAGTAATATCATTGTTATTCATCAACGATACTATAAACCTACAGTACTACTACATAGTGAGCTCAATAAACAAGAACTACTGACATTATTAGCACCACAGCAGCTTGAACTGCAATATTGGGGATTGTCTTTTTTATAAATATTCAATCCCTTGTTGCTATTAGTGAAGGTACTTCGGAACTTTAATGAAATGTTTATTAGACTATTTAAACTGTTTTATGGTTAACCGTAAGCATTTCTTCATATTTTGAAAACTCTTCCACATAAAGAATGATTGATTTTCTTTGCTAAATGTGTAATGCATCTTCATGATTTTGGAACAACCTCAAACCTTGGTGCTACGCCGATCTTCAACTCTTTCTATTAAAATTCACCTTTTTCTTAATTTACTTTCTCTTACCTATCTCTTTATTGCTTTATAGCAATGACCCAGAGGTTGTATTTTCATAACTGTTTTATGTCTTCTACGTTCTTTCATGGTTTTTGTTGATTCAATGTTGGAAGGTGCAATATAGGGGTTGTTTGGTTGGTTGTAAAATGAATGCAATGTAAAGTAAATTTAATGTAAATGAAATACTTGAGGTTGTTTGATTGTTTGTCAAGTGAATGCAACAAAACTATTTTTTAAGTTTGGTTGGGTGCATGCAAAGTAAAGTAAAATCAGATGCCCTTTTGGATGAAACATTTAATCGAGCCTTAGTGTACCTATTCCTAAAATGAATTTATTTCCCATATTGAAGTCCCCCAACATCAAACACAGAAGACACACTGTGGCTCCAGGATCCCGCATAAGATGGTCCGGCCATCCTGGGGCTCCAGGTTCCCACACGGAGTTGAATACCTTGCGGCCATCCCAAACTGTTGTAAAGAACGGTAATGACTACCGTAATGAGACGACCAGGCATGTTCGCAAAGATCAAAGGTGAAAATTACCTTTTACTTCAAGGCCAAAGATGAATTGAGCAGCCATGGAAAGAAGAGATTCGATTCCAACAAGAACTCGGGAGATGCAGCGATTCAAGCGGACATTTCATCTTGTCCGTCCAAGTTTCTGAATGAGCACGATTTGGAGTTGTCGAAACATTTTAAAGCCTCAATTAGCAAGGTTTCGAATGGTGAGTTATGTTTGTCTTTACTCAGATTTGGCGATACTCAGTCTCTGGGAGATTCGAACACGCTGCCTGGGTCGGGACGTAACTCCAGTTTGTGCGATAGGGGCATTCATCACCTCCATTCCGACTGGATAGCTACGACCGAGATGGACATTTCGATTGAATTGGAAGAAAGGGCTGAACCTTCAACGGCTACTGGCCTTCGCAAAATGCAGATCGATCACTTGGACGAATAGAATGTCGTTGTCGATGGGAAGAAGTCGAACAGTAAGGAGCCGATGAAGAAGCGTCCGAGCAAAACTCTACCTCACGCGACAATAAGGAAATGTCGTTGAAGGGGAGAAGTCGTCATCGTCGAAGGAGCCGAATTTCTCTCGTCTGCGTCGCAGGTATTCCTTTTTCGCTCGAATTTGAGCAGTTTTACTTTACCCGCAAAATGAACTACGGCGGGGAGTTGGAATACAACATGATTTCGTTTCACTTTGCTCCATGTCAAATAAAACAGTGAAAATACTAAAATGCAGGTATTTACTTTACTTTATATTCACGTTGTTGCCAACCAAACAAACCCATAATATCTTATTCTTTTGCACCTAGGACTGAAGGAAAAATATAACAAGCCTTAATACATGACATCCAGCAAATGCAGTATTTTTTATAATAATATTGTTCACATGAGTATGGAGAGCACGTAACATAAAAAAGCACATAGTCCATGTTTTGAAAGCCATCTATTGCATGATGTGTGAATAAAAATTCCTTTTCCTCCTTATAGAGCTATTTGTTGCATGCCATATTTCTATAACTTCTGGTTAAAAAGGCATCTTTAACGAGCAATATAGTGTTTGCACCTCTAGTTTAGGGGTTATTTTCAACATTCACAGCACCTTGGCCATGTCTTTTGTTACTTCAGATGTCATCTTGTAACCCTAATCCCTTCTTGGGTCAGGAACGACACAAAATAATGCTATTAAACCACTTTGTGACAATAAAAAATACAAATTCAGCATATGCCACAAATATACTAAAAGTCAATTTGCATCTATAAAAACCTAGCTATATTTAATTACCTGAACTGCGGGATTGGAAACTACAGTAATATGGGAAGGGGGGTGGGGGGGGATCATCATAAAAATATAAAAGTTATAGAATACTTAACCATGAACTATTGCGATGACCTGGGAAAAACTAGTTGGAAGCATACCCTAACATCACGAATTGTTTGTGGGCTATTGCCAATCTTAGGCCTGAAGGCATTGGGATTGCGTTCTAGAGTAGCTTCAACTGCCTCATGCCTAGCAGCTTCATTTTCAACATTGTTAAAGCAATTTGCGCAGTTGCACCCATCACAATAAACACCAGATGCAAAACACTCACAATACCTACAAGTGCATTGTTAAAATAAGAAATAAAACGAGAAAAAAAAGGTGAAAAATAAATGTTAAATCAGGCAATGATTGCATTGCTGCATGCAGTTTGTGCAAGGAACCGAGGTTATTAAAAGAAAATTAGTAAATCAAATCCAAATTTCACTATAATATGAGTTATAAATATTGCATTTAAATTCTACTTCAAAAAGAAAAGCATATGATGATTTGAATATAAACATAAATAAGAAGAAAATACATGCAGAGCTCCACTAGCATTAGCTTTAAATCATTCTTTCCCTGCAAAGGAATCAACCAATTTATGTGCGAACTTATTTGAATTAACAATCAATGAGTGAAAGATTCATTTCTAATCTTTTTTAGTTGAAAAATTTTACATGAAGTCAAAATGTATTGATAAGTTTCCTAAAATACCTGTCAAAGTATGTATTTTGACTGATAACTAAGCAGTAATGAGAACTGAGGTTTACATCAATATATCATAACATCAAGCAAATCATTTTCTGCCTTCCTACTGAAACCAAATTTAGAATTTAGTCATCTCCTTTTTCTAGAGGATCTGAAAATAGAGGCTCAAACTGATAGAACAGAGTTGTGTCACGAGGCTAGGAATCAAAAACGTAAAAGTAAAAGTCTATCTCTGAATGGTACCAGAATAATTGTTCGTGTTATCCAAAATTTATGACTTGATTGCATGAGCAAGATGATGACTATGTCTACCACAAGACCTATCTTCCTCAATGTTTAATGTACCAAGATACCTCTTCCACCACACCAGAAACGGAGTTTAGTTTGCGACTTAAGTCTGCACATTACAAATGCTGATATAGAAGCAGCACTACGTTGAACATGAAATAACAACACAGTTTATTGCAAGACTACAAAAATGCGAAGATAAGTAAAACTGGACGAATAAAAGAATAATGAGAAACAATAAAATTCTTTAGTAGTGATCACCTACATGTGTTGCATATGAAAGCTTATAGAGCAATGCTTCACTAAATGGTAATTTAAAGCACAAAAATCAATGCTGTCAGTGCAACTTACAGCTTTAAACAACGTGAGTGTTTGCAGTTGCAGTTCTTCTTTCTTGTTGGCGTACCTTCTTTCATCTCAAATAAGGGCTTTGACCTTGTTTGTGGGGACTCGGGTTTTCTGCAAAATTTTAAAAGGATAAGTAAGAGTTAGCCACGTGAAATGGATCATCTAGAACATGAACATTTTAGACCAGCCAGTCTAGGAGGGACCGACCCATTTCTATACCAGGTGGAAGCCTAGTTCCGCCCAGGCCTAGCTTGCCCCTTTGGGATAGGGTCCATGCATTGAGGAAGACAGAGATACGGGCAGGTGAGCAGGAAATTTAAATTGGAGGGGCTGTTTAGACTTTTTACTTTGCATTGTTTGCTTTTAATAGTTATTTTCATCCTAGGGTTAGGGTCATGCATGCTTTAACTGAATCTTGTACTTCTCTTAAGGTTTGCTTGGGCTCTAGCCGTCGGCTAGGTATTAGGGGAGCCGGATCTTCCTCTCAAATTGATAATCCATTGTATATTGTTTGTTTTCTCCCATATTTTAACAATTATCAAGTTTTCCTAGTGTTTTGCCATCAAATTTCCTTCAATATATATTTTATCTGGTTGAAATTCCAAATTTTAGCCCAAAATTGTTCAATTTCTGTAAGTATTTCCTACCAAATTGGCATCAGAGTGCTTTCTTAGGCGGAAAAATAAGTTATCTTCATGTTTGTGTGATTGAAGCCTAGACCTAATTAATGGCAGCAAAGAATGTGGAGGCATTGGAGGGCGACATGGAACAACACAAGACCATATTAGAGGAAAAATATTCCAAGGTGGAGGGAAGACTCTCAACCATTAAGAACCGCTTTGGGAACTTTGAAGATACGATGAAAAAGATGCTTGAGATGATCGAAATCATCATTGGCGATTCCTAGGGTGGAACCACAAAGAAAGAAGATCTAGGAGGACAACAATGAATTGGAGAGTGTTTTCCATCAAGGACCACCACGTGGGGCCAAGTTGGTGGGTGGATCGGGGTATTCCGAATGGAGGACAACAAGGAGGGAAGCCGACCCCTTTGGGAGACTACCAAGGCATGGTTGGGGGAGCCATGGGATCAAAATTAACCAAGAGATGAAGGAAGAGAATCACACCACCACTACACCAGAGGAACTAATGGGAGAAGAAACCATTTGGGCATGGATGCAAGGGCAAGGAAACTAAAGATGCTGGTTTTTGAAGGGCAAGATGCTCAAGGTTGGGTGTACCGGTTGGAACATTACTTTGCCATTAACGGGCTAACTAAAGGGCAAAACCTATAGCGACGGGTATATGTTTGGAAGATAAAGCCCTAGCCTGGTTCCAATGGAGGGAGGCTAGGTATCCAATCTACTCATAAGGAGAATTTACAAAGTGCTAGAAAATAAGGCGGCTGATGCCTTGTCTAGATACGTGGGGGAGCTATAGGAGTTAGTCATTTCAATACTGCTGATATTGAATTGGGGGGCTATAAAGGAAGAAATTGTGCAGGACAAGGAGCTGAGAAGGATCAGAGAAGATATGCTGAAGGATGAGAGCCGCCATCGTGGCTATTCCGTAAATGGAGAGAGACTTCTATACTAGGGGAGGTTTGTGCTGCCACGAACCTCGATTCATATCCCGCACTTGTTACAGGAGTTTCACAAGAGCATTATTGGTGGCCACTCTGGGGTGCAGAAGACATAGGAGACTGGTTGTTGAATTATATTAGAAGGATATGCATAATAATGTACAGGAGATGGTGGCCAAGTGTGAGGTTTGCCAGAAGAACAAGTATATAGTCATGGCTCCAGGGGGGCTACTAGAACCCCTGTCCCTTTCAAGCAGTGTGGGAAGAGGTCTCCATGGATTTCATAGACCAGCTACCCCGATTTGAGGGGTTTATAATTATTCTGGTGGTGGTGGACAAACTGAGTAAACATTCTCATTTCATTCCTCTACGACACCCTTACACGACAGTAACAGTGGTGTCGACCTTCATTAGAGAGGTGGTCAGATTACACAGGATACTGGAGTTTATAGTGTCCGATCGAGACAATGTGTTCCTCAGTTACTTTTGGAGGGAATTATTTAGATTGTAGGAGACTGTGCTGAAGAGGATCACCGCTTACCACTCTCAGATAGACAAGCATACATAGGTGGTCAATAGGAGCCTGAAGACATACCTGCAATGCTTTGATTCAGAGACACCTCAGATGTGATCCAGGTGACTGACATTGGTGGAGTACTAGTACAATACTTTATATTATTCAACATCCCAGATGACTCTTTTCAAAGTGTTGTACAACAGGAATCCACGTCACTTGGTGCCTTTTGGACATAGTAGCATATTTTTAAAGCAGTACTTGGAGGAGAGGGATCGAATACTAGAAAAATTGAAAAGATATCTATTGAGGGCCCAACAGATTATGCAAACATATGAGCACAGAAAGGACATTTAGTTGGAGGTAGGGGATAAGGTGTATTTGAAGCTTCGTCCCTATATGCAGAGAACAGTGGCTAGTAGAAGGAATGAGAAGTTGGCTCCGAGATATTTTAACTCTTATGAGACAGTAGATATGATAGGAGCAATGGCGTATTGATTGAGGGTACCACCGACCACAACCATACACCAGGTATTTCACGTGTCACAGTTGAGGAGAGCTATAGGAGATCACACATCAAGTGTGCAATTACCAGTGATGTTGAAGGAAGATTTGGGTGTGATTTTAGAACAACTGGAGTTGTCAGTAGTACGATAAGGAGAATGAGGAAGTAAGGAAATGATGATTAATTTAAAGAACCTATCTGAGTAAAACAGGACTTGGGAGCCGTATAAGCAGATGAAACATCAATTTTCGTCCTTCCACCTTGAGGTGGCTCTTTAGGAGGGAGTATTGTTAGATCGGCCGAGGAGGAGTCGGTTCGGCCTATCCAGGAGGAACCGGCCGATGTCATACCAGGTGGAAGCCTGGTTCAACCTAGGCCTAGCCCGCCCCCTTGGGGTCGGGTCCACACATTAAGGAAGAGAGAGAGAGAGGGGCGGGTGAGAAGGAAATTTGAATTGAATGTGCTGTTTGGACTTTTTATTGTTTGCTTTTAATAGTTATTTTCATCCTAGGGTTGGGGTTATGCATGTAGGGTTTGTTTGGGCTCTAGCTAAAGACTAAGGATTAAGAGAGCTGGATCTTCCTATCGAATTGAAGATCCATCGTACTGTATTTATTTTCTCCCATATTTCAATAATTATCAAGTTTTCCTATTGTTTTGCCACCAAATTTCCTTCAATTTCTATTTTATCTTGCTAAATTACCAAATTTCAGCCAAAACTGTTCAATTTCTTCAAGTATTTCCAATCAGAACATTAGCATAGATTTGTAAACAATGTGAATTAGAAATCAAATGAAAGTTTCATGTAGGTAAGCGAACTGATCTTGAAGAATGTAAAAAAACTGGATCAATCCACAGAAGCCAATAACCATACTATTCCAAACCATAAAACTGAAACACGGAATTAATGCTGCTGCTTTTCTTCCATGGAAAAACAAAATTGAGGTAGAAAATCATTTAAGTGAAAGAAGAAACCAAGAACAAATAAGGCAGACTACCGATGCAAGTGTCATGAATCAAAACTATCAACTAATTTCAGTGCCAAATGCAATGAATCTACAGAAGTTCGACTGAAAGGCTTAGATGAAGACTTTTTACTTGTTTGAGTTGTCCAAATTCAAAATTTCTGTATGATGTAAAACAAATTTCATAACAGAAACTAATCCCAAGTTTAGCACCACAAATTACTTGTAACCACGAAAACTAGAATTAGAATAAGAAAGTGAAATGAGCCCGGCGTCCAATTTTCCAGTACAGAATTCAAATATGACGAGTCGGTCCAAAATTGAAACAAGGGACAACGAAATCCACTCAAAGGATAAGACATAAGAAATATGTATCCTAACATAGAGCAGAAAAAAAAACTCTCCTTGCTAAACAAGAAAGCACGAATCAGAGTAGAAAATTGAAAGCAAGATTTGGGAAATTTTCAAAATTGCATAGCTCACATGGACATAGGAATCGAAGGCCGTGAGATGGACAGCGCCGGCGCAAGCATCTGTTTTTGATTTTGTTGTTGCTGCAATGTTGACGGCAAAGGTGACTGCTCGAAGGGAACCGGAACCACCGGTGACGACAGTGTCGGGGCAACGCAATTACCCGGTGTGAAATCCAGCTGCCTAACGAGCTTCCTGGGAGGAAAATTCGACGGCCCCAACGAAGAAGATTTAGTCCCTTGTTCCATCAGAGAGCCCACAGAAAGATAATAAAGTGTAAACTGGTGAAAATGTCCAAAAGCCTCAGTCCCGCGGTGAACAACCATGGCTCTCCATCTACACAACGGATTTGACCCGATTTGAGCACTTCTGGGTCCAGCGGAGATCGACCAAGGGATCGCCGAAGATGGCTGAAGAGGTCGACCGGAACCAAGAGAATGAAGGCGGGAATCCCCGCCTCAGAGAAATCACGCTGAGGAGATCTGGCGAGGGAAGAATGTACGGAAGGCGGAGGGAGGATTGGAGGAGGAGGAACAAGAAAGAGCGATATTTTTCCCTCTCTATCCCCTGCCCTTCTTCGGCTCTGTATTCCTATCGCTCTCTTTCTCTTTGAGCTCTGCGGGAAAATTTTTGAGCAGAGGGGAAGGAGAACGGAATAAGATAGTAAGACTCCTCTCTCTCTCTACCCTTTCTCTCTCCCCCTCTGAAGTCTGGTCTCTCTCTTTCTCTTTCTCTCTCTCTCCCTCTCTAGTTTTGAAATCAAATTTTAATAGTGGACATTGGACGGATAGATATGCGATCATAGCTACCATCGGACGGCGAAAAGCCCGATCATAAATCCAGTGGCCCAAGTTCATAGGCGTTGCCGTATTGGGATCTCGACCGCAGGATCAACTTTGGGAGCGCGTCTAGTTAATATAATCTAGATTCCATTTAGATTAATTTTTTATAATTTTTTTTTAATTAAAAATCAAATTTTGTATTGAGTATATATATTCTTTTTATTTTATAGAATTTTGTGGTAAGTAATATTTATTATAATCATATCCTTTAGAATATAATAGGTATGATAAAAATATCATTCAATTTTTTCTTAAAAATAAAAATGTATAATATAGATTAAATTAATTATACTTTTATATTTCATACTATAATTCTATAGATTTTTTTTTCAGATATTTAAGTTTGTTCGTAAACAAAATCTTAAGGGTTGCTTGGAGATTTGTAATACCATCTAAAGGCTACTTTTACGAACTTTCATTAAAATATGATTAACTCAAAATGTAAAAACCTCGTGCATCTCTTTAGACCTAGGACTTACAAAATGCTCACGATACTTGTTCGATCGTCATTCCTTGCACCCCAGCCATGACCACAACTTTATTTTATTGGCGTTGAACCAAGCGTCTTCCTCATTATCATGGCTTACATTGCTCCCTAAGTGCTTCTCATCATCCTAATGATTTTTTAAGTTTACCATTGACAGTTAAATGTAATGTTATAGGTATTATGTAAGAGTAATTCAAGTTCCTTCTCAAAAAAAAATATTTATATGTAAGTATTGTGAGAATTTAAATTTTTTTATTTAAAAAAAAAAACCATTGTAACACTAATATGTGTAAAGCATTCCCAACATAAACATCTTATAATCTTAATTTTACAACAAAGATAATCATTTAATTTGGTTCTTAAATTAAAAACTTTGGGGATGTGATATAAATCATAGTTCTAAAGTCACATTTCACGATGGTTTTTATCGCTTGATTATACTTTTTGGTATAGAGTAATCCGTTTTTGGATATTTAGTGGAGAATAAATGCTTTGTAAAAATATATACTTAATTAAAGCTAAAATGTGTTGTTTATAAAAAATAATCAAAATGTATTTTATGAAATACATGGATTAGGGTTGATTAGTAGGCTTATACACTTAAAATATTACTATAAATGTTTGGGTAAAATATATCAACCTAATGAGCCACTTTGTCAACCCAACCATCAAGAGAGATTTATCCCTAATGGTCACCTCATAAACCTTGTCACAGACTCCACTACAACTTCAAGCTTTTTCATCCCAATGGAGCCAACACTAAAATATACCCATAAGTTACCAAATAAAAATTAAAAGAAAAAAATTATATGGTTATCATGTTAACCAAACTCCCAAATAACTCTATTGGCATTATTAAAGAATTTTCGGTAATCCTAACGTATAATCCCTAACGAGTCATGATATGGCATCAATGCTCTACTTCTTATGGAGAAGGGTATAAATATGGATCCTTTGTGTATCATATATCTTCTCCAAGAGCAATCTTCTATCAAATAAGCCCTAATAGTATATCCATGTAGCTAACTTCAAATTTAAAATACTCACAGTAGTCCCTAAAAGATTATATCTTTTATCAATCAATCTCATAACTAAATTCATTAGGCTCACACTTCAATGAACCTGTCAATATATTTGTATGGCCTATTATATTTCAGATCAAACTAAAGCTAAATAAAGCTTATATATTAATACATCATCAAGAATATGTACTTATGCAAGCATGAATCTTGAGATAATATTCAAATAGGAAACTTTTGAAATCACGTTTGCGGTCATTCAAACTCTAATTTCAGCAAATTTGTAGTTAAATTAACATCTCAACAAAATAAATCCAATGAGCCCATGATCACTTAATTATGACATCAGTAAGTTCTTTAAGCACTCAAAAAGTATCATATGATCAAGGCTATAACTCCAAACCATACAAGGGAGTGTTTTAAATTTTTGCAATATTCATGAAGAATGGCACCTCTAAAAATAATAAATAGACCACTACTCCCTTGATGAAAGGGGGCTTAGACCTTGACTTGAAATTGGAAACTCATATGTTAATTGCTGCCTCCCCATAACCATTGTTAGACCATCACCACTAAACTACCATTATATGAACACCATCATCAAACCACTACCCTTAAACTATTGATGTCAGACATCCATAATTTAACTACTAACATCGAATCATCGCATCCATTTAACTATCATTGTTGGGCAACCATTATTTTCCCTCCATCACATGACCACCTCTATTGGGCAACCATCAACAATCTCCACTATTCGACCACCGCCTTCATATCGCCATTCTTAAATCTCCATTATTGTTACACCACCGTTGAACTACTACAATCCAATCACTACCATTAAACCACCTCCTTCCAACCATCGCCATTAGACTACTATCATCTAACAACCAACATTAGATGACCTACACTTGAACACTACCTTTTAACCATTTTCATTGGATCATCATCTTCTAACCATAGCCATCCAACCTCAGTCGTTAAACTACCATTATCGGGCCACCAACATATATACACCCCATATTAGATCATCATAGTTTAGTCATCTCCGTCAGACTACCATTGTCAAACCTTTTATCATCAGACCTCAATTGTGGAACCACCGCCATTAAACCATTGTAGTTTCTCAACCACCATTAACGATTATAATCCTCATATCACCATTGCCCAATGTTAGTGAAAGTTATGGCTAAAATTTTTGTATATATTTTATTGTGAAAATATTTGTTTTGGTTGTTGTTGTGCATAAAAATTTCAAATAAAAAGGTTGAAATCATGGAAAAATACCCAATATTACGGCACAGCATCATTAAGCACCATACTGTTATATTCACTTCTCAAGCATCGCAGCACCAAACCAAACCATCACAACACTATCATGTCTTGAACTTTATAATTAATTCAATACCTTAGCATTATCTGACCTCAATGTCGCAACACTCCTAGAACATATCAAGTGTCATAGTGTCAGAAGATACCATTGTAACACTATGAACTCTAGAAATTTGTAATTATTTATCTGCCCTAGTGCCAAAGAATCTAAACATCACAATGTGTCATAGTGCCAAATTGCCTGAATTTCGTGAAGTAGCAATTAAGTTGGTTAAATGGTGAAATGAAACATTGATTCATATCGAGCACCATAGTTGTGACTTCCAATAACATCACCAGTTGATGTTTGTAACATCACAACATAAATTTTTTTAGCGTTGCAATGCTAGTGTTAGTTAATGTACTAAGTATAAATAATTTTCTTTTTTTTAATTTAGAAGGGCTTGCCATTTATTTTATGAAAAAGATGTTGAGCGACTATGAGTGGAGTGTGAGGAGAGTTCATACTTAAGGTAAATTGATTCAAAGTGTAAGGAATGTTTGTACTTAGTTGTAAAAGCGCTTTCAGGTGACTTCCTACACAACTCCACTATTACACTTTATGTTTTTTTATTGGTTTAATGAATACTATTTTGTATAATTTGAATTCCATTGATGGATAATTTCTTAGTTTGAACATGTGAAGTGTGGTGATGCATGTTTTTTCTTAAGTGGCCTCTAGAACTTGAAATATTAATCTTATTTTCAAGTACTTATGTACTTAACTTAGTTATTGCATTGGCCTTGCTTTAACTTTACATTTAGTGTGACTTAATACCTCAAACGTAGGAATATGGGAACAATTAAAAGAATTGGAATATTAAACTAACATGCCTACACATGTGATGAATATGGTTTTAGATTCTAAATAGATAAAATAATTATAATAAGGTAAAAAACTTTACTTTAAACTCTTACAAGCTCAACAAAGAAATAGATTGCATATTCATTGATTCACAACATAAATTAGAGGATTCAACTTAAGTAAACATTGCTTACATCACCATCATAAGTTTAAAATACTTATATTTATTGAATTTCTTATTTCAACATTTGTAGTAATTACTTTAGCAAACTTATTTTAATTGAATTTGGTAGGATAAACCTTGCAAAAATTAGACAGTACTATGATGAACATAAGATAATCAAGTTCCTCTTAGGATATTAAGATCACCCCTAACCTATGGGTAATTTATCACACACATCACATCATAAGAAAAGTGCAGTAATAAAATAGCAACATAATAATCACCATAGTAAGTCAAAGTAATTAGTACACGTGCCACATGCAAGAGCGTCACATCACAGAAATAGAAAAGAAAAAGCACATACCTAACCCATAACAAGAAATGGTGCACTAGCAAATAATTCTATGTGTGTGTAGTAGGCTTGTGTGTCTTTACATATGTCATATATTGGGTAGTTAATTCAAGTTGTTTGGTAATACAATTTGTTAAAGGCCAAAAGGGGAAGTTTTTAATTAAAGTTTAAATATTTTTTTCTTAGGGACCATTCTAATTGATTAATTGGTGGATTGAATTTAATACCTAGGGTAGTGTTCTTTGAAGTATAAGTTGAGTTAACAAATTTTTGAAGGTCCAGGGTCATCCTACCCACTAAGTCGAAGGGGTCCAAAATGTGATTTTTAGAAACAGGTTAGGTTTAGGGATTCCAATATTTTAATTAAATATTAGATCTTACAAGGAGTAAATAGACTTTGAGTTTGCTAGATTTAGACTTTTTTATAAGTTTATTGCCCTAGTATCAAGCTACGGTTGACCGTGGAGTTAATTTTTAATTTAAGTTGGTTTCTAGAAAGCTAATATTTTTTAATAAATACTAGATTTTAATTATAGTTGAATTCCTTTTGTTTTATTCAATTTGGAATTTTTTATAATTATTTATGATTTTTTAAATTTGGGGCATTTAATGAATTATTAAAATTGCCTAATTAAGGGTGTTTTAAGGATTTTGATTCAAATAAGCTCCAAACCTCTTG